AGATCAGATGCTGGGCTGCTATGGGGCCATGGTTTATCTACGAGATGTCTTGTTAAGAGACACCAGCATGCACCACAAGAGCAGACCTGAACACTGTCAATGAATACAGTAATTAACCAGGGACAGATCTGCATCCCTGGTAGCACATGGGGTTGAGTGGTAATCAGTCTCTTGCTAGAAGTTGCAAGACAGAAAGCAATAGCTTTTCCTGCTGTACCTTTGTTTTGCTATGCAAGTTAGAATAATTTCCTCCTCCACTTTTAATGTGCATTTTACAGTCAATTTAACACATCCATTAGTCACCAAAATCTGTGCAAATTAGTGCATTTCCATCAACTTCTGACCAACTCGTGACATGGCAGCATTAAAATAATTCCAAAATCCTATGCTACAAGCACATTATTTACACCCTATAGGTAAACTACAACTAGAAAGAAATGCCACCTTGCTTTAATCTCTTGGATGTATGACACAGCTGCAAATCACAGTCACCTTTGTACACACATCTGTAAAGTGGAGACACACTGTGGCGGTGATCACTGAGGAAGACCCACCAGGAAAACAGACTCACTGGGATAACTGGGAGGTAACAAAGCACAAACCCATGTACTGCATGCTTAAAGCAGTAATATACACTACTAATATATAAGAGTAATATATAATTAACTCTTTTAATTCAGCAGCTATCACCTACCCAGAGGAAGAAACATCTCAGTGGGTGCTTCCCCATCTGAGGCCTGGCACAGGTCTCGGTGCCCAGCTCTTGTTTTAGAGGTACAGCCTCCAAATCTGAAGTTATCTGCGGGATTTTAAGGGTCCTTTATAAGGGATGAAGATGCTGTGTTTTTCCCTCAATGAAACGATTCTTCAACCTGTCTGCCTTGAGCAAACTTCAAACTCAACAGTTCACAAAATCAGACAGTAAGTCATAAGAAATAGAACTCATTATGTACGTTATGCTTGCCCTTCACACCTCTATAATGCAAGTTGCACGTTTTATATCACTGTATGATACACTTGCAATAGCATGCAGGTGGCATTATCCAGGAAAGCCTGACCTAGATGAGGAATGCTGCATTTCTACCACATTTCCCTTCCCTCTCAGCCTTTCTTCCCCTCTTCTGTCTCTGTTCCATCGGTTGAAAAGCAACAATACCTCTATTAGTATTTAATTTGAATTTGTGTTCTCCATTTGTCCTCTCCAAAACAGGTCTTAGATCAGAAAGAGGAAAGCAAAAGAAAATCACTACCCTGCGTAGAAACCCAGCAGTATATAGAAGGTACTTACCCAGCTCCACTGTTAGGCTAAAGGAGGAAGATAAAAAGCTTCAAATACCAGGGAAAAGCCAATCTCTTGTATCCATGTTTAAGAAGGCAACCTCATTTTCCAGAACAGCTGAGCTTGCAGCCCATAGGATTGTGAAAGGCAGTATTATACGCTCAGGCCACACGCCTGGGTGTCCAGTTTCATGCTACTATTTTGGAAAGTTGTATTATACAGCTGCTTATTGTGACTCTTTATTTGGCTTTTACCACAATCCCTATTACCAGGTTTCAAGAACTTCCAGATGTGCCTATTAAGAGCACTGGCAGCTTTCCTAGAGGAAAACAAATCTCATCTTTGAGTTGTGCTTGGCAACACCAAACTTTCACACGTGTACATCCACACTGCCTGTCACAAAGATGGAAAAGCCACCTTGGGCCCAAACTCTCCATTACCCCAGAGGGAGTTACAGATATGAAAGAAGAAAAATCAAAAGGCTTTGTGATTCCTCTGTGGCACACTGAGCCTGTAAAACTAAACCAGCTCTATTTCATCCTATTCAAATCCCCACAGTTCAAGTGAAATTTAATTATACCTTCACTTTGCATAATTAAACAGTCATTGCATGGCTTTCTAAAGCATATAAAATGACTAATGAGTGTAGTGGTAAAACTTTCAGCAGTACTAAGTGGTTTTAGGAGGCTACAGGTATGTCTAGACAGAAGCTAACTTGCATAGAAGCAGCACTATTTTGTTCACCCAGTGGGATTAAGCAGCTCTCCACATATGCCATGTTTTTGCAGCTCGACTATTTCTAGCATTTTATCTCCCCAATTTACAGCTCATCCAAGTAATTGCATCGTGTAGAACAGATATAGCCAAAATCCTGATTATCAGATAAAACTCAGTATCTTAGCCATGAAGGAGCTTCTGAAACTTTCATAGTTTTGCTGGAACAGTAGTTATAGTACCAGCAACTGAACCCTTAGCACTGGTTCATTCCAGTACATTAACTGACTGAGAAACATTATTTTTTTCTACTTCTGCACTAAAAATGCTCATATTACATGAAGCTTCCTGTCTTGTGTTTGCCCTGGAGGAATTCTTAGATCAAATTCACCATGTTTTGGTAGGTTTCCTCTTCCCAGGTTTTCCATGGCATGCTCATCCTAGTGGTATCAGCTGTTCTTAATTCATTCTTCTTTGAGAAGAGGTGCTAATGAGTTTTGGTATCTCTGGCAGCAGGGCATGAAAGCTTTTCCTAACTTTTTTCCTTTGGAAAACTGGTATTTTGTAAGCAGCTAGAAATAGGATTCAAACGTATCATTTGAAGTAGTTATCTCTCATTTTGTTTTCTCTCTCATTTCCTTGTCTTCTCAGAGAGATTGCCTTTGCTGATAGAACAGTTGCTGAAGGATGCATCTTACAAAATCCTTTCTTCATACACCGGCACAGGTGATAGGGGCTTTTCAGTCAACATGTTGAGCACAGAACATAATTAACAATAGCCTGCTTTGGGAACATGCTTTATGTTTGACATGCTAGGTGAAGTGTAATGGTTTTTATCATTCTCCTTGGAAATTCTACAGAAACCCTTCACTCTGCCCACTGAGTGCTACCTCTTCTTACATAAAACTACTCAGATAAAGTGACCAAGGATAACGCAAGTTGATTTGACTAGAGCAAACAGTTTGCTTTTCTTTTCAGTTCAGCCTGAACAAGTCAGTAGGTCATAGCTTAAAACAGCATTTCGAAGCACAATGCATACACTACGAATGTTCCTTGTAAGTAACCTGAAAAAAGCAGTAACTAGGACTCCTTTCTGAGAAATACACTGTGCTGTGCTTCAAGTAGTGAAAAAAAAGAGCGTTTTAACTTGTTTTACAGGTTTGTACTCAAGTACAATCCTAATGCAGAATGGTAAAGACTAAAAGGGAAAAACCACAGATGGAGTAATATATACATACCAAGATATGAAAGTATAAATAATGTAAGCGTATGGCATATATGTGAAGCTGCTGAGATGATCAGGCAGAAGTCAAATAAGGGCAGCAGTCCCCATTTTAGTTTCCAGTCATAAGATGAACGGTCTTCTCATACTTCAGAAACACTGGAACAGTCCTTTTTCTTGACAGACTATTACCACACTCCCCAGACGAAACATTTTTTACTTGACTTCTATTACTTAGTTTCTGAAAGCACACCTTGCTCAATTGCTGGCAACTGTGCAGAGCACACAGAGCTCACTACAGCAATGCTATGATTTAGCATTTCCAGAGATTCACATGGAGCTGATAGGTGTGTGTAGGGAAAGGCCACCTAAAGTTTCCAGTGTACAGATGGATGGAATAACAATACAGGAGAGACCCTGACTACGGAAAAGCAACCTTGGAAGTCCACTAGACTGCATAAACTAAAAATGAAAGCTAATGAGAGACTCATGAAGAAGCAGGGAAAGAGCGAGCTTTGGTCAGGGAGGGATGGAAAGCAGAAGCAGCACATTATGAAAACCTGATCACAGCACAGTAACTGAGATTGATTCTGTTCTGACCTTGGGCTTGGCTATGTTTTGGTAAGGGGTAACTAGAAGCCAACATAGACAAAAGTGGAAACTGCTGGAAAACAGTTGCCCAAAAGACAGCTGAGATACACAACTATAAAACTGAATTAAGATAAATAAGTGACTGACTTTTCCTTAGAGAACTGGCTCCTCAGCAGCCTGAGGTGCTACAGCACCAGGAGCACCTTGGGATCTCTACAGAGGCACTTGCCTGAGGGATGCTTAAATCTGATCTTCTAACATCGCCTGGAGCCAGCAGAGCCTTCAGCTGGGTCTGGTGCTCCCCAAGCACACAGCAGCAGTGGTTTAACAGGATTGCCACCTTCACCCCTCTGCAGGAAGCTGCCAGCTCTGCAACGGAGTCAGGGAAGCTCACACCCCACCTCAGACTCAGTGTTTTAATACAAATCTGCCTTTGGCATCAGTGTAAGCCGCACTGACTGAAGCACAAGCACGTTTTCCTTCTGTGCAGAGAGCAAACCACCAGAGACACTCCTGTCTTCAACTGCTGTTGGAAAACTTGCCACTACCATGGCATCACAAGTGTAACACAGAGAGTGTCCTGAGCAGGACACCCAAGCACCATGCTTCTTCTCACCCTCGTTCTGTTCTCCTCAAGGGCAATACTGCACCAGACATGGGGAGGTGATTGCGAGTCATGCCCAGTGAATGATGCCCTACTTGGATTTGGGAACTTGTCGGCACCACAGGCAATATCCTGCAATACAGTAGCATTTGCCACACAGCTTCCTTTTACTCGAGTGTGATGCCAGTTTGGGCAGGTGGCAAAGTAAACTGGGGAGGAAATGCAGTTACCTCCTCTAGCACTTTAAGACTAACCCTCAGAAACAAAGCTGGTAGCACTCCCTGCAAGTGTTATCACTGTAAAAGCAGCAATGAACACCAAGGATTTAAGAAACAATCCTCACTTACAAATGCACACTGATTTTCAATGAAGTCATTTTCACATTGTTTTGCTTGGACTTCGGGTTCGCTGTCACCACTGGTTTACAGTCGAGGTATCTCTCTATAACATTATTACTGCTATTATTTTGCTTCCAACAATGAGGAAAATAATATGAAAGCAAAAAAACAAAAGGAGAGAAGAATTCCATTTGACTTCCTTTTCTTTCTGGGTAGAATTGCCCGAAAGCTGAAAAGAACACATAACCTTACCAGGTAAAAATGCATTTGTTTCGGAACAGCAACACAGATCGTATTGGCTTTTCAGCAGCAATGCTCCTAACAGGCCGACCACAGGAAATTAAGAATGGACAGCTCTGGGAAAGCTTCTCCTCATTCACATTCTAGGTGAGCGGTAGTCTTTTCCTTCCTCTCTCAGCACCTTTCCACTACAAAGCATCCCCATAGTAGAAGGCTGTCATGCAAGAGGAAGAGGTCATGTGAAGAAATTAAAAGCAATACAACCTGCTGATGGTATCAATTATCAACCTGGTGATAGCAGACCTTCCAATTCAGGCCTGTCTTAATTTGGCTAACAAGTAGGATAGCCCCTGAAAGAGCAATCACAGTAAAAATGTATGAATAGAAACAGGGCAAAGAGGTAAAGAGTGCCTGTTTGGTGATGCTGGACACTTCACACACTCACCCTTGGCAATACAAAATGAGTAAACCTTAGAACAACCCCCTTGTCTATTTTTCATCCACACATAGTACCTATGGGACCCGACTTCACTTTCCAAACAGATGCAACTACAGCTGCTTCACTTGTGAGATGTCTCCCAACACCATTGATGAATAGCCCTGCATTTATCACCCAGGGATGCTGATCAGAAGGGAGACAGCCTCGCGCTCCAGGTTTCAGTGTAGTGCCTGAAACCATGAAGCACCACAGACAACCACAGACTCACCTGGGAGCAATGAAGTCGCTGTTATGACTCCCAAATAGTTTTCAGACCCTGTCAAAACAAAAAGCAAGCATGTGTTTGGAATGCAAAGGGGTTTAGACACTGAAGGCAGGTCCTCTTCCAAGACTCTGTCTTCTTCAGGTCCCCAGCTCTTTGCCAGGAGCGCCCCAGTGAGGGCTGCTTTACGGCCAGGAGTCTGGTACAGTCATCAGTTCTACATGTCACTCATTAGTATCAATATTTAATATTAAATATTTAGTACCAATATTTAACAGGAATAAATGAAATGACTCAGACTTCTCATCCCAACATGAAAACAGGGGGAAATAATGAAGCAGCCGATGCAGGATGCAGCTAAAAAAGTGATGAAACAACATGGGTACTTCCATAGTAGCTCTTCCATGGTAGTTCTAATAAAGGAGATCAAATGATACAAGATCAGCATAGTAAACAATGCATTAAAAACTAGCAGTCAGGGTTAAGCTTAGTAATTTGAACTAAAAGCAGTTGAAAAATCATCCCAAAGCAGGAGTACTTGTAGGGAGGACCCTAAGGATTTAACTCTCAGGGACATGGTCAGCAACAACAACACATCCCTCATACAGAGCAGTCGAGAAGCCATGTACATTTCAGGACAGCCAAATGGACATGTCAAAACCCACAGATGATCCAAAAACAAAGAATGAAAGCCAAAGTTCAAAAATTTATTAAAAAAAAATGTAAATTTTGGAAACTTTAAAGAAAAAACACAGAAAAAAATCAGTTTCCAAACATTCAATGGAAGTTCCAAGGCTCCAACTACCGAAAGGGGAGAGGAAGCAGAAAAAATCCCCCCAGGACATGCAGGGAGGATAAAAGGGAATGGTAGTTGTTCCAGAAAGTGCCTCACTGACAACCCTGGATTTCTCGTTGTTCCTGATGCCTGGAAAAGTCATGGATGCTGTGGATGTTCCCACTTGCTGTCACACTGTTTTCAACATGTGAGCTCCAAGTAAGAAGTGGCAGGTCGCAGTCTGGACCCAGAACGTAGCCTTTCTCAGCACATGTTTAAAGTATACACCTGCACTTAAAGTGTAGCCAAGTATATGTTACCTGCCTCTGATTTTTGTGCTTAAGAATGCCATTCATTCCACCCTCCCTGACACAGAAGGAAGCAGGTTAATCTGGGTGCAGACAGCCCAACAAAGTCCTGCTCCCTTCTCATACAGAGTGAGCCATCCTGCAAGGCCTGGTTGAGAAGGGTTTATTTCAAATGGTTAAAGAACTATTTGGTTTTGCGTTGTTATAAATCAGCATGGCCAACAGCCAGTGATAACTGGAAACATTGGATGTGTTCCGAAAGGAAGAATACCTGGGGAGATGGCTATAAACATCCTTCAAGACAAGCATCCTCTATGGAAAGCCCTTTATTTTTCCAAACACATATCCCAGGCACATTGGCACTTTGTGAATTAACATTTTAACTGCTTTAATTAAGGCAACACAGCTAAGCCACTGCATCCAGCTAAGCTAATGTGGCTTCTGCTGAACAATAATGGTGGAAGTATTATTCCCCAAGACTTGGAGGAGGGGGAGTTTTACAAAGTATTCATTTTCTAGCCTGTCCATAATGACTCTTATGCGAGACCAAGTTTGTGGTCTTTTCCATATGGAAATTCACTGAGCTGGAAAATGTAGGACTAGAAATACCCGAATATCCAGTCATCAATCCCTGCCAAAACACCGCTTTAGAAGATGCTTGATAAAAATGTTATTGGTTTAAAAAGCTGAAATCTCATATCCCCATCCCCTCCTCTCCCTCCTCTCCTTTTCAAGTCATGCAGTAAGTGCCAATGGTTTCAGAAGGAACCGCTTCTATCACAAGAGCTGAAACTGGCCACACCACCTTATTATAGAGGAGGAAACGATGGTACTCTAGGTTTTAGTGTTTGCTGCAGAGGGCAATGCCTTGCATTTGAAGAAAAACAGTAATGGAAGAATATACTCTGCATCTTGTATTTGATTAAAATTGGCACGCATCCTATTTCATGCCCTTTGGCTGCAGAGCTGGGGCCTGGCTGTGCCTGCCATGGGAAGAGGAAAGGAGAGGACTGGAGATGGAGAGAGATGGCACCGACTTGGAGACTGGTCTCACTGCTTTCCCACCACAGAGTGATGATGAAAGGGCTAGGACAGGCACCAGGATATCCCTACCCACTGCTGCCACCCTCAGCCACCCCTTGGCACAGGCAAAGGTGCCACAGAAGTAAAACAGCTGCCCAAGGCAATGTCTTTCTTTCTTTACCCTGAAGATGGATGTCCATACATTAAGCTGCAAGAGGAGATGGGTTCTGTAGCATCTCTGGCTGCACAGAATCTGCACAGTTGGGATCCTGCCCACACCCCCAGCAAATGCAGCAGGCACAGAGTGAGCTTCTCACCTTGGGTCTACCTCTAATTTGTGCACTGTACCCCTTCGTACCACCATACCATATGAGCGCATTCAAATATCCATGCAGCTAACCTAGACAAGGTCCATGTACTCAGATGCCCACTTTTCATAGAATCCAGACCGGTTTGTGTTGGAAGGGACCTTAAAGCTCATCCAGTTCCAACCCCTGCCACGGGCAGGGACACCTTCCACTAGAGCAGGTTGCTCCAAGCCCCTGTGTCCAGCCTGGCCTTGAACACTGCCAGGGATGGGGCAGCCACAGCTTCTTTGGGCACCCTGCACCAGCGCCTCAGCACCCTCACAGGGAAGAGCTTCTGCCTTAGATCTAACCTGAACTTCCCCTGTTTCACTTTGAACCCATCACCCCTTGTCCTGTCACTACGGTCCCTGATGAAAAGTCCCTCTCCAGCATCCTTGTAGCCCCCTTCAGACACTGGAAGCTGCTCTGAGGTCGCCACACAGCTTCTCTTCTCCAGGCTCAACAGCCCCAATGTTCTCAGCCTGTCTCCATATGGGAGGTGCTCCAGCCTGCTTATTTTGGGTCAGCTTAGGCCAGTTTACATGAACTGCAGCTGCACCTTTGAACTTCAGTGCAGGTATAAGAAATGATCTGAGGTGACCTGCCCAGCCAATGCACCCTGCTGCTGCTGGCAATGTCGCTGGGACATCTGTCCTCTACAGCACACACATCCCTGGAGAGATGCCTTTGCCCCCCCTCTTCCTGACCTGAATCTCTCCTGTCACACATCCTGGGGCACAGCAGAGAAACCTGGCCAGATGTTTCAATTTCCTTGTATTCACAGCTTTGATTGCATTAGACCAGACAGGATTTCTCCACCGGCACTACCCAGGGGTAATGTGAAATGAGTTATGAACATTATCCACTCTGTGGTGTACGTATCTGATGCCAAGAAAGCCTTAATAGGGTCAAGTGGAATTTCATGCTTGAGGAATCTCATATGCTTGGACATATTCTTCAGAATATTAGTTGGTTGTATCTGTGTACAAAGGCTTTGGAGATGTAGCTCCTAGTAGTAGCAAAGTGACTGCCAGCTGAGGAAGGCCGGCATGATTTGTCCTGAAGGGGAGTTAGCTTTCTGTCATTTGGACTGTAAACCATTTGGCACATTAAATGCCTCTTATTCTTTTTGAAGGAGTGACTCCAGCAGCCCAGTCCAAGTGTTTGGTTTGTTTATGAAATGTATAATCTGATCTACAAAGGAAAGAAAGAAACAGGAAGTTTAGCTTTTGAGCAAGTGATAACCATGACTCAGCTCTTCACATGAGCTCAGCATTTCAGACACTTAACAGAGAGCAGAGGACACCATCTCTTCCTAAATCAAAGCTGAAGGGGTTATCAAATCCTCAGCAGTGTTCACTGAGGAACAGCATCAGTGAAAGCTGGCTCCTGCACACATTTCTTCCCAAGGCGAGTGCCTGCAGGGTGCTCCAGCTCTGGTGTCTAATGTGGTTTTAACCCAGCGCTGCCCTCACTGCTCTATCAGGGGGATTTTCAGATGCGTTGTTTAAGCACATAAGGACTTGATGCTTTCAAATCTCCACCCTCAGTCAAACCAGGCTGACACTGACTGAACCCAACAGGTCCAGAAGTGACAGGGATGGGGGAGAGGCAGAACAGTCAGACAGAAACAGCAATCACACAACGTCTCATTTGGTTGAGGAATCAGGCTAAAAATCATTAGCTAATTAAGATGATAATTTTTGCTGTTGGAACACAATATGCTTGTATCGACTCCTACATACATAATCAATAGTAATATTTAGCATTGTTGCGGTGATTTTTGTATGCAGCATGCACTGATTTAATCACTGACCAAGCAGTACTGAGGCTGAAATTCTGATGCCTGCACAGCTTGTATATCACTAGGGAGACTTGCCTGACAAAGCCTGGACTGGGAGGAGTTAACACACAGCACAGATTTATCACAAAAGAACTGGTAATTGTCTTAAGATGAAATATATGTATTTTCTTTGAAGCACAACAGCTCACCCGATATGTACTCCATTATA